CATACAACAAATTGTTTTAAAACGAACATTATTGATGGCCTCCCTTTTTTCGTATTGGTATTTCATTCTATCTCACATTCTGGCATTACAATAATTGATAGCACTTTTTTAGAATGGTGTTCAGCTGTGAAACTCAAACGATTTTCTTGGTAAATAATACGCGCATTTGATTCAGACGTAATTAACTGCAACCGTCACAAAGTTCATACAAATTGAATAGAATATATATAAGAATGAGCTCTGCTGACCGTAACGCCAAAGAATCGAATAGATGATTTAGATACGTTCGGATTCTTCAAAACAATTATAGTTATTTTCTATTACTTTACGGAAATTAAATAAATTAAAATGCGCAAAAAGTATTATATATCCGCTTTTATTTAAATAATAGTTTAAGTATTTTTATTATACATTACAAATACATTTAAAGTAGCAGCTAAGGAACTATCTTAAGCATTTTATATGCGTTTTGAAAGTTATGGAGAGAAAATTAACTAAAAATTATGTTCATAAATTACACCGTAATCACATTTATCGGGAAAACCCAAACATCAGTCGCTTTTAGTGCGTTTATAGTGCGATGTTAATATTTCGAAATAAAATTAAAATTAATTTGTTCTGAATAAACACTCCAATGACGTCATAGCGCGAATCGCCTATTTTAGTCAACCCTCTTTTCTTTGATACAAAAACAGCGCCTTACAAAACTGATCATGTATTTTCCCTTTCTTAAAAGTAAAATTAATAAATATAACTGATTGCTTTTTTAAATTGTTAATAAAACACACAGAAAGTTTAGCGTTGTATTTTTAACATTTAATAAGTTTGTAATTTTTTAAATTCCAAAAATATACTTTTGTTACATTTATAATGTAATGAAAACTTAAGCTTTCAATATAATTTTAATAATAAAATTCCATTTAACTCAATCCGTGCAGCGAAACTACATAGCCCAAAAAGCATTCACTAATGCACTTATCACTCATCCAAATAAGAACAAAGCATGTGAAATGCAAAAAAAATGTTTTTGCGTATGTAAGCGGGTTAAAATCCCGTGGATAATTTAATTAATTTTTAAAAACTCTGTGAGGAAGGGGGGGGGGTTGGGATGGGTGGTTGGGGGAGTAATACGATACTTCCATTTGCCCATGGCAGCACAAGATACGCCTCAGAATGAATTTGATAAATAATTAACCTTCTTAGGGGTAGGAAATAGGGTGTGTACATTTTTACGTGAATGACAATATCATTAAATCCAATGACATTACAGTTGTGAAAAAAGGTGCCATATTCTCATTTTAATAATTAAGAAAATCAATGACGTGAACTAAACGTAAGTACATTAGAGACGACCGAAAGTGATTTTCTGATTTCGGCCGAAGCCAAAAATAGGCCGAAAGTTAAAAAATGACTTTCGGCCGAAACTGAAAATAGGCCGAAAGTTTAAAAATGAATTTCGGCCGAAACCGAAAAGAGGTCGAAGGTAAAAAATGACTTTCGGCCGAAACCAAAGCCGAAGCCGAAAATGAAATATTTAGATATTTTGAAATTCATTCCCGCATACATTCTGCATGTATCGAAAATGTTGGGGGGAAAGTATAAATATTTACATTCTTTTAATAAAAATGAGCTAATCCAGAATATTAATAAATAAACATCTAATTTAACATATTGTTGTTAAAGATCGTTTAGTTTATTCTTAAATATCGCTTAGTTGTTCTTAAAGATCATTCAATTTTTTCTTAACGATCATTTAGTTTGTTTTTATAGATCTTTTAGCTTGTCACTAAAAATCGTTTAGTTTTTTCATAAAGATCGCTTAGTTTGTTCTTATAGATAATTGATTTGGTTCCTTAAGATCGATTTGTTTGTTCTTAAAGATCTTTTAGTTTGTTTCTAAAGAACATTTAGTTTTCTGTTATAGATCGCTTAGTTTATTCTTATAAATTGTTCAGTTTACTATTTAAGATCATTTGTTTTGTTCTTAAAGATCACTTAGTTCGTTCTTAAAGATCGCTTAGTTTGTTTTAACGATCGTTTAGTTTTTTGTTAAATATCGTTTAGTTTGTTCTCAAAGATCTCTTAATTTGTTCTTAAAGATCGCTTTATTTGTTTTTAAAGATCACTATTTGTTTTTAAAGATCGTTTAATTTGTTCTTAAAGATCGCTAAATTTGTTCTTAAAGATCATTTATTTTGTTCTTAAATTTCGCATAGCTTGTTGTTAAATATTGCTTTTGCTGAGAAATAGATGCTCGAAAACCTCAGTCACTTTCGGCCGAATGGCCGAAAGTCTAAGTCAATTTCGGCCGAAACCGAAAAAACCCTGAAAGTTAACTTTTCTCTTCTGGCCGAAACCGAAATTAAGCCGAAAGTTAACTTTCAGTTTCGGCCACTTCGGTGCCAAAACCGAAGCCGAAGACGAAATTCGGTCGGTCTCTAGTGTACATTTACATCATTAAGCCCATGAATAACAAAACCCAATCATTTTACACAAGTAAAAAATTAGTTTCAAAATAGAGATGGGTTAAGATATTCTTTGATAGATAGATAGATAGATAGATAGATAGATAGATAGATAGATAGATAGATAGATAGATAGATAGATAGATAGATAGATAGATAGATAGATAGATAGATAGATATATAGATAGATAGATAGATAGATAGATAGATAGATAGATAGATAGATAGATAGATAGATAGATAGATAGATAGATAGATAGATAGATAGATAGATAGATAGACAGACAGACAGATAGACAGACAGATAGACAGACAGACAGACAGACAGACAGACAGACAGACAGACAGACAGACAGACAGACAGACAGACAGACAGACAGACAGACAGACAGACAGACAGACAGACAGATAGACAGACAAACAGACAGACAGACAGACAGACAGAGACAGACAAGCAGGCAGGCAGGTAGGTAGGTAGGTAGTTAGGTAGGTAGGTAGGTAGGTAGGTAGGTAGGTAGGTAGGTAGGCAGGTAGGCAGACAGACAGACAGACAGACAGACAGACAGACAGACAAATGGACAAACAGACAGAACGCTTCCTCGAACAGTTGCCCAACTGGTATATTTTATTCGGTATAACTATATATATACATCTATATAAACTATTGTATGTTTATGTCCCGTATACGCTCCTATACCATTCACCCTATTTCGATAAAAAAAATTTGAGTTGTTGTGCACACACCTGCAAATTTTCTGAATTATTACACACATTTGACAAAATTCCACTTTTGGGCCCGAGGCCCCAAAATTTCTGTCTTTTTCTTTTATGAGCTAAATTTAATTTCCGTATACATCCTTATACTACTAATAACGTCACATTGGAGATGGCCTCGGTAGGTCTTTAAGCGCGAGCTCATAATACCCCCCGGCACACCCCCCCCACACGATCCTCCACCGGGTCTCCCCGCCGCCAGACCGTGCGGAAGCACGCCGGGAACCTCCCTGCTAGCCAGGGGGACGTATGGTCGACTGAAAACGCTGCGTTTAAAGCGTTCGCGGTCGACTCTCCTAGGTCTGAACTGCTTTGCTTCCTCTCCGCAGGAAAGGTGTTGCGTTACCTCCTCCCACCGTCCGGTCGGAACGTAAGCGGGGACGAAAAGGTCGCGTAGCTGAAATCATCGGCAAGGATTTTGACCGCCACCCAGACCTCTTATCCATCAACGGCAACACGTCATTATGTTATGGCGTTCCTCCCATTGCGTTGGGAGTCATGCGGTAGCCGGTGTTTTTAGCTTCGGGGGGGGGGGGAACCTCCCTACTAGTCTGCCACGTCACGAAGAGGCAAAACCCCATGTAGACGCCCCCATGTTTCCTCGGAGACGCTCCGCTTCCGCGGGCAACATCCCTATACCATTCATTGAAGTGCCGTATAACCTTTGGTAAGTTGTGCGCACGCCCGCAAAGGTTTCTGAGTTAGGTTATTCGTTTCAAAATATTTCTTTTGGGGCCGGGGGGCCTTAAATTATTATTTTTTCTTATAATGAACTTTACAAATATAATTTCAAACAGACCTATTGCCTTGGTGGATGGAATTAAATCAAATACAAGCGACATTTCAGTTTGTGTGTGACGTAATAAGTAGGTTTCTGGATTAGTTCAACCATTTTACAATTTTGCGTTTGGGGCCGGGGGCATTTTTTACAACTGTGAGCTATATAATAATTTCAAACAAAGCTACTGCAGGGGCGGATCAATCGCTCCAAGTATGTGGACTAAATTTTGAAAATCCACGCTTCTCATATGGGCAGCTGTGTGCTGCCTTCTCATATGGGCAGCTGTGTGCTGCCTTCTCATATGGGCAGCTGTGTGCTGCCTTCTCATATGGGCAGCTGTGTGCTGCCTTCTCATATGGGCAGCTGTGTGCTGCCTTCTCATATGGGCAGCTGTGTGCTGCCTTCTCATATGGGCAGCTGTGTGCTGCCTTCTCATATGGGCAGCTGTGTGCTGCCTTCTCATATGGGCAGCTGTGTGCTGCCTCCTCACGCGTCGAGAAGTCTTCTAATTTCTTGGTGTACGCACCAGACGGAAAAAAACAACAACAAATATTTTCTATCTAAAAATTACTTCAAAAAACGTAATTAAAACACAAACACTTTTTTCTTTGAATGACATTGCAACGCATTCCGGTTTCTCGCTGGTAGTTAAATAATTTAAAAGATAAATAGTGCCCGTGTGTGGGCACAATTCTCCACTATTATCATTTAATGTGAAAATCTGGGCTGCTCGTTCGAATTTGAAACTTTGATGTGTGTCAGAATGGTAGCCTCCTGTTAAACAATCTTTACGGGAGTTTATGTTGAGGAATAGGATCTGTGTACAAGATACAGCGGCTTAGGAAAAGGTATTGCTAAGTGGGTGTTCCCCACGGGCAGCGTTTTTTCTATATATTGGGAGGGGGGGGGAGACATTATCCGCCAGCTCCAGATGTTTTTTGGTGTTTTTTTCCGATTTGTGGATGATGTCGACACGGGCCCAGCTACAGGCCCAGCTACAGGCCCAGCTACAGGCCCAGCTACACACATCCACTTTGAACGTTCCGAAGGAGGGTTTCTTAACAAACAACGCACTATATCGTCACTGAGTGCATTGGGAAAAGAGAATAGCCTTAATTGACCCAGTCACCTCCCCTTGTCAGGAAGCAAGTGAAGCATATCAAAACAAAATCTGCACCTTGCGTCGCGGCATTTACAAGATGTGAAGTGAAAGGAGAGAAGCTATTTGTTAAATGTGCTGCAGATACATGGACAGTGCTCTGTGCTCAAAGTATGGGGGAACTGTGTAGATATTTCTGTCTAAACTTGGCGCTATGGGTGTTTGTGTCAGGTTTGTAGACTTGAGCTCTGTAGATTGGATATTAAAATGGTTTCAAATATAACTATGTACTATACAGATAAGCCTATGTAGGTTTGTAACAGTAAAGGAACGCATGTGTGTGCATGTAGTGTGTGTACGGTATAATTCAGGCGGACTAAAAGCGATATAACCAGTGGCGTATCTAAGGTAGGGGCCACACGGGGCACGCCAGCGTTTTGACACCCCCATTCCACAAAAAAATAAAGCTGGTTTGAAATGCCGCCCCTCACTATAAGGGAAAATGAGGCCCCCGGGCCGTACCACCCTACACGCACACCCTTCCTACGTCACTGAATACAACTTATAGAAAAAGAATTTCTCGTAATTGCTTATTAGTTTAAACGGAGTGACATTATATGCCAACTCATTGATTTTAAGGGATGAACAATGGCTACATAGCAGCACCATTGACAACATAAATGGCCATACTGGCTATAGCAACAACAACAAAAAAGTGATTATTGGTTAACAGTGACGTATCCTAGGGTTTTGCGAATGCGGGGGGGGGGGGACTTCCCCACGCGCGGCACCTTCGGTGTAACTTACCATCTTAAATAATTTTGTTTGTCTCTATGGTTAGGGGTGCACACGGATGAGAGTGCACCCTGGGTGGCTTTTAATAAAGGTGCATCACTGTATTTTAACATGTTCAAAGGGGTCTGGGATCTACTGATAGCTGCATTGGTCCTTATTTTATTTTAAATCATATTTTCTGTTTTGTAATATCCACGGGTTGAAAAAAAAAAAGGATGGGCACAATGTTAGACATATTTCCATAAAACCACTCCATGACAGAAAACAGAAACCATATTTAGAGGTGCATTTAAAGGGATACACAAATTTAGTGTTCCTATTAGTCAGGTTTTGTAGGGGAAAGGATTTTTAAAGCACCCAAGGTGGGTGGGGGGGGGACGAGGGCCATCTATCAGCATGCATTATGGCACCCGGTGCCATTGCCTAATACACACTGAATTTACCCTAAACTCAGATACAACCCAGTACTCTTCCGATAAGCGGCGCGAGGAAAGAGGAAGCATTAATTGAGCATGCTGAAGACTCCCGAGTAAAAGCGGGGGCATGGTCTGTTCAATTCAATATGCAAGAATCCCTCTTACCCCATACCTTAATTTAGCTTTACATCATTCTACGTTTAATCGCAGAGCAACAGGGGATATTCTAGTTAAAAATGTAGGTGACATCAGAGCTGTCATATTGGCTATGCAACCCCTTCATCTGCAGGTGTTCATGCATAATTAAGGAGCTCAAAGTTGTGATGTTGACACTTTTATCATCAATTTTAAATGCGGGTTGGGGTGGGGGGGGATATAGCCAAACTGAAAAGTGGCAGGGGGCTTTGAAAAGTGAAGAGACAGTCAACCTGACCTGGTAGTGATAAAAATACTTTTAAAAAAATAATTTACTACTAAATAGTAATTTGGTTTCTACATTTTATTTTAAAATATTTTAAGGAACACTCCTTAATAAATAAATGCATTTAAAAAAGTGCTTTGAAAATGATTCCAACACAAAAAAAACAAAACATTGCTAACATGTTAAAAGCAATGCATACCATTGCTAACATCACGTGGCATGTTAAAAGCAATGCATACCATTGCTAACATCACGTGACATATTAAAAGCAATGCATACCCTTGCTAACATCACGTGACATGTTAAAAGCAATGCATACCATTGCTAACAACACGTGATATATTAAAAGCAATGCATACCATTGCTAACATCACGTTACATGTTGGACGCAATGCTACATCGCGAGACATGTTATTCGCAAATGGAAAAGAAAGAACTTCTTTTAGAAAGTTTTATCCATTTTAATGGGTCGTTTCAACTTGACATTTTTATAATCGTTTATGAACGGCATAATTATGTAGCGAAGACATGATATGTTTACTAATGTGTGATTTTATTTGAGGTAAGTCGTATAAATATTTAGTATAAATTTCCCAATATTCACTTGATTGAAAATTTTATTATGAATTTCAAACTACTAGTCTATAACTTTATTAAGATAAATTACAAATTGACTATTTTTAAAAACAAATCCATAGAATTTATTTTTGAAAAGATGGTATAGAAAAAAAGAATGTTTGAAAATTATTTTTTTTAATCTTTCTACTGGATTCTCATTTTAAAAACAGTTGAATTAAAAAGTGCAGGTAAATAGGTGGGGCAGATTATTTATTGTTCTGATATTATGACCTGTGATGCACCCTCCTTGCCCTACCTTATTTTCTGTTTCGGTTTAATCCTGAAGTGTCAAAGTGTCCTCTTTTTATAGCCATTTTCATTGTTTCTATAGAATAGTAGTTACTATCCTAGTGTCTCATTTGTATTTACTTAGTTTACATGTTTTAATAATTGTAAAGCGCTTAGAGCTTTATGATAAGCGCTAAAAAAAATGCCTAAATAAATAAATAAATAAATATTGAAAAGAGAAAGGCAGTTGAGAACTTTATGATATATAGACTAGGTCAGTGGTCGCAAACTCATGAGCCAAAAGAGCCAAAAATCAGCAGCATGACGATTAAAAAAAATGTTTGAGAGCCAAATTTCTTTTCAAGAACCTAGTTGTTGTTTTTTTTTTTTTTTTAATCAAAACCGATTTGTGGCCGGTGGTCCGAGCCGCACTCAGGTCGCTAAACAGCCGCGATTTGCCGACCACTGGACTAAGTATTTAAATTACTATCTGTACGGAACTGCAACACCAGAAGCACCAATAACGAAAATACAACCGCTTTCCATTTAATAATAATTGATGGAATGTCAACTATTTGTAGGCACACGTTAAAATTTTAATTTCTGTTTAACAAAAAAAAATAAATAATAATAATAAATTTCCTTAAAGTTTTTATTTAAAATTATGCTAAAAATAACTATATTTTTTAAAGCAAGATGCCATCATAAATTTATAATTGAATTTAAAAAGCTATTATTTTATGATAAAGTATTTGCAGATGGTCAATGTTTGATAATAAGCAAGAACTATAGTTAAATTACAGACCTTTATATTGATGTAGAGATAGTTTAAAGAATGTGTCACTCAAAGTCTTCAAGCAAACAGGGTTGCAAAAAAATAAATAAATAAATAAAAAAATATATAAATGCGAAAAACGCTTTAAAGGAAACAATTTCCATTCGTTTTAAAAATGGTTTACAATGACAATTTAGTCGATAATTTTATAAAATATATTTTCAGTTTTTTCGTACACATCTTACCCCGGGGGAAGGGGGGCACTTGAATTTCTCAAGTAGGGGACCCCACTCCTCGGAAAAATGACTGATATAGATAGTGGAATATGTTGTTTTTTTTAAATTTAAAAAAAAATGTGTGCCTTCCATACCCCAGGGGCTCTAGTGCTCATGTCTAAGAACCTGTGCTCTATCTGCTGTCTGCATAACAATTTATGACATCCACTGTGGCGTATAAATTTAATTTGTTAGAGTTTACTTTCCGTTAGGCCTGTATGCGGCAGCCCCGAGCAGAAGAAGCCCGAGTCTAACAGCGTCCCCCAGTGTTATAATCCTGGGTGTGACGCCGTCTCTGACGGTCAACTGCAGCTACTCGTCAACTAGGAGTCATGACCTCGCAACTCTCACAGCACTTACCATCTACAGCAGAACTAATTCATCGGCACATCTCCACAGTAAGGGGGATACAATGGCGCAATCGTTATGTGCTGAATTAAGGTGGCAAGTTTCGCATGACATCCTGGTTCACTGTGTATCCAGTATTATTTATTGATGCAAAATTTGTAACCCCCCCCCCCCCCATAAATAGATGGAAGTTTGAATTAACGATGTGGAGATAGTTTGTAAAAATGTTGTGAGTGTTTGTGTGGGGGAGGGGATCGTAACGCATTTGTGGGAATGGTTGACTTGACTAGGGGGGCCTAATTTTGGTTACCAATTTGTGAGGATGATAGAAAAAAATCAATGTCTGGGTGTGTTGTGTTGTATGTGTGTGGAGGGGTAGTAAAAAAAAATTATGTGACTTGATTCAAGGACGGCCCCTTTATAGTAACAACAACATTTCACTCAATTTAATATTTAAAGAAACCTTTAATAATATGTAGGCCCAAGCCACCATTATACTCAAATATAACATCGAGCAAGGCTATGAGGTTTATATAAATTATGATGTTCAGAAACGTATGTTAATACCTATAAACGGGCGGTAAAGTTCTTTTAAATCAATCTATGTTAAATATGTTAACTCCTTTTTTGAAAAGTTATTAACGAAATAATTAATTTTTAAAATTAAATATCATCATGATTACCATTTCAGATTTTCGTAAATAAATCTTCAAAATTAATAATAAAATTCATCTGCAAACTTTTTTTTGTTATCGGTTGAAAGCTATTCGTCCCGTGAAATTTTTGAAAACTGAATCCTTTTAAAATTCAAATATATTTTTGTTGGGTACTTGAGAACCTGCACATTTTAAATATTGTTTTTGAAATTTCAGAACGAGGCGTTGTAAAGGTCTTAGAAGATAACGGGATGACTCAGACTTTCGTCTCAAAGAATGCCGAAGGTGAGGGAGTCATCGACGACAAAGGAGAATCGTTTTTATTTCTAAGGTGGAGCTTGCCCTCTCGGTAAAAATTGCTTCTGAAATAGTGGTGTTTCCAACCGACTATATGCATATAGTAGATGAAGGGTATTTTACAAGAAATAAATGTCCTTAATATCTAAAAGATTAAGATTTTTTACATAACTTTTTATTTGGTTACATTCTTTTGTTAAATCATAATCTCTATTGCAAGTAATATAATTTTAGTTTTTAGTGTTTTGTCCTACAGTTTAGCCTACATTAAATCTCAATTTAGCCTACATTAAAATTGCAGTTTAACTACATTAAAATACAAATTAAGCTTACACTAAGCACCGAAATATATCTGTGTTTTCCATTCTGACACCACACATCATTTAGTGGATGGGAAGGTTTCAAATTTTAAATGCGTATATTTATATATATATAAAGAAGTTAGGTATTCGAATGTCAAAAACGTCTTTTCCAGTATGCCAGGCGATGAAATGTTAGCGACTTCGATTTAAATACATTTTCAATCCTCAAAGTAGTACATTCTTACTTTTCTGATTTCTGACCCTAGTCATGAAGTAACTATACTGACGTGTATGAGTGGGTAGTAGGGGTCGCAAAACCGGTACCTTTTGCCAAAACCTGTATTTTCGATATTGAAGTTTACGAATACCGGAATCCCGGTATTTTCGATATTTAGATAATTTTTAGACGAGATTCGAGATTAGAGGTGAGGATTTATTAGGGCCGGCGCTAGGAGGGTGCGGGTCTTGGGAAAATTGAATTTTGAGGGGCCGTTGACGTTATATATTCGGCCGATAGGATATTAAGACGCGTTATAGACGTTTGACTATCGAATAATTCCGAATATTGTGTTGACTGGATTAGGAACTATTAGTAGGCTCAGGTATGTTATAAATATACTAAAGCAACGTGCTGCCCACTTCGCCGTCCCCCTAGCGCCGGCCCTGTATTATCCATGAAAGTAAAACATTCAGAAAAATATCATTTTTTTTAATTTTTAATAAGCTTTTAACAATAACACAAATGTCTAACTTCAGACTTTAATCAAACGAACAAAAATAATATTCTTAACTTTTTAATTTAAATAGTTTTATTAATCAAGTATTAAAATAATTGGTGTTGTTTTAATCTTTGGTCAAATTATATAATGAAATCGTAAATAGGACAAAGTGTATAATGTTTGGTCACTTAACTTTGACCGCAAATGGTCACAAAAGTAACCCGATGAAGAGAACAACCGCTCTGACTCCACACTGGTCGGAGAAATAGACCTTAGGCTATCATACGCAATTTTTATATATTTTCCTCTTGAACCACCATTCTCAAATAAAGCGATTTTCATTTTTACCAATGTATCAATGTCTCCATCCGTTGGTCTGGAAGTATTATCCAGAGCCTGAAGTTTCTTTTGTATTTCAATTTCAAATTGTCTCTTAAGCGGCAGTGTGTCTTCAAGTTCATCATGCTCCGATCCAAGATGTTTAATTTCATTGTTCCTAGATATTTCCAACGAGAAATCCGCTGTCTGACCAAGCTTTATAAATATCCACGGTATGTTTCGCATCTGGTCGCAATCTGGCCTTAGAAATGCGTCCAAGTAGTCACTGGAATGTGCAGACTTTAAATAAGAGTCAAGGCGTAAAGGTGTACCTCAAAATATATTAAGTATCTTGTTACATCTAATACATTTAGCTGAGAGATTGTCCGTAGCTTTCAAGAAATATTGCCAAACTGATGTATTTCGTTTCCGATAGTTTCATATGCTTATCAAATTTAGGTTGATTTTTTTCAGGGTCCCCCATTTCTTTCTGTCAACCTGAAGGGAAAATGAATCATTTAAAAAATAAATAATCAATTCAATCGAGTTGGTTTGACGTGTACTTTTTAAAAAAATGTTTTAATGTTTGGCTAGGTACGGTACAGACAAACTGGGACATTCAGCCTGAGACAAAAATAGCTCGAAAATCAATTATGAGGTGAATGTAAATTATTAATATTGTTATCACAAAATAGAAGTAACATAATTTGTCTGTGTCTTAAACTTAAGGTATTTGATTATCAAAGTACGGATTTACTCATATTTTTAAATATGTAGGTTTTTTGGCATAATTAAAAGAAATCAAGCAATCAAACATTTTTGTTATTAAAAGTTGACCCCGTGATTTGAGTGCAACGTGTTATTATTTCCATAAAAACTCTTAATGGAAGTCAAAATTCGATCTTCATTCAACTATACCAATCACTTATTTGTCAATAATATGAAAACATTTACTTACCAATCCTGTACTTTCTCTTTGAACTTGAGACACGTGGTGTGAGGGATTTGCACATCTCATAAATTATTGATATGTCTTGTTTTAACTACGACGTGGAAACTAAGAAAAACGATTTAAAAGAAATTGAAAATGAAATCCCGGGATTATCGAAAATCCAGGTTTTCATAAATCCAATCCCGGTTTTTTCGAGCATCAATTATGGTCCGATATTCCGGTATTTTCGAATTTTGGGATCCCGGATTGCGACCCCTAGTGGCTACATGGAAACAACCATATTATTAATCATTTCAGACAAATCCTATCAGTGTAGGTAAATTTATAAACGCAACAACACTTTTTTTGCAATCATTTTTTTAAAACATCTCCTATTTGCAGTGACCAAGCCGTTGAATATTTTTGTGTTCTTACTGCCAAAGACGTGGAAGGAGTCGAAGTGCAATCCAATGCTGGTACAAGGGTGACGTCACGAACTCCGTGGCATATCAGAGAAATCCAGCAACTGGCAGACGGCTACAAGGTGAAGGCAGGGACGCAACTCAGTAATACAGGGAGAATACAAAGTGGTATATTTGTTTTAAGGCAGAAAGGATTAGTAAAAAGTAAAGAGAACATTTTAATGGCGGAATAAATGATAACAGAAAATTATCGATATTGTTTACAATTATGAAATCTGCATTTAGATCGTATTTCAGACTCAGACTCTTTCTGAGTGCTTCCTGGCCTCCTGGCCTTGTAATTCAACAACAACTTAAAATACCTAATATTTTGTATTTCTGAAATTATGTGTATCTAGCTAGCATATGTATTATAGTTTCTTTCCCCTTGAGTGTGATTGCAGACTCAGACTCTTTCTGAGTGCCTCCTGGCCTCCTGGCCTTGTAATTCAACAACAACTTAAAATACCTAATATTTTGTATTTCTGAAATTATGTGCATCTAGCTAGCATATGTATTATAGTTTCTTACCCCTTGAGTGTGATTGGTTGAGTCTATTAGTTGGTCTGATTGGTTGTCTATTGCTTGAGTATGATTGGTTGAGTCTGATTGGTTTAGTCTATTTGTTGAAAATGATTGGTTGAGTCTACCTGAATGATATGAAGATATTAAATTAGTTGTGGCCCGATGGTTATTTGACCTTTTTACGATTAAATTCTTCATAGTAAATGTCTGGACAGTAAGCTATTTTGTGAAGTGATTATAGACATTAGTCTTGTGAGTACGTTCTGGAGCTAACTAGTCAACAATGTTAGCATAAAGTTCAAGTGTTCCATTTGTTGGAAGAAGATCACCGGCCAAGGAACGTCAGGGCGTTAGAGACGTCGCCCCGGGGGGAGGGAGGGGACTTTTTCGGTCAAATGCAGAGTATTTTTCGAGGGGGGGGGGGGGGGGAAGGGTGTTTGCTGATAAATATCTTGACCCACCGCGAGTAAAATTAACCAATGGAGAAGATAGCGTTGATAATTTCTGTTCAGTACAGTACAAGTTGTTAAGTTATAGATAGTAGCATCACACGTTAAAAGAAAACGATGTACAGCCAAGACGAAAGAGTTACACACGTAGACTTACAGTGGCAGGCGGAAATCACTGTTATAAGACTTGAGTCGTTGTTTGTGGATGCTATGGGCTGTGCAATTTGTAATGGACTAGTTGGTATTTTCATCGCCGTCGCGTGAATTTTGGAGGACCCCTGCCCCTTTTGGAGGACCCCTGCTCATTTTAAAAGACTTCCATCACTTTTGGAGGATCTCTGCCACTTTTGGAAGACCTCTGCCACTTTTGGAAGACCTCAGACCCCTTTCGGTTTTGTGATCCCCTCTGTTCAACAATGACAGTTTTAATTTTATTCCACATTACCAGGTTTGGCCCTTATATATCCGACTCTCGCTACAGCTGCAGGGTTCGTCCCCTTATATAACCGAGTCTCGCTACAGCTGCAATGGTTTGTCCCCTTATATATCCGAGTCTCGTTACAGCTGCAGGATTTGGCCCCTAATATACCCGAGTCTCGCTACAGTTGCAAGGTTAGATCCCTTATATATCAGAGTCTCGCTACAGCTGCAAGGTTTGGCCCCTTATATATTCGACTCTCGCTACAGCTACAAGGTTTGTCCCCTTATATACCCGAGTCTCGCTACAGCTGCAAGGTTTATCCCCTCATATATCCGAGTCTCGCTATAGCTGCAAGGTTTGTCCCCTCATTTAACCGAGCCTCGCTACAGCTGCAAGGTTTGGCCCCTCATATACCAGAGTCTCGCTACAGCTGCAAGGTTTGTCCCCTCATATATCCGAGCCTCACTACAGCTGCAGGGTTTGCGCGTCTCACTTGACGGGTCTGTGTATTATATGTCCAGACACTGGTATTTGGCAGTCTAAAATGGTGGATCTAGCTATAACTTCATTTTTTTTTTCTGACCCTTCACCTTCTTTTGAAACATTGCATGAGACTGTGTATTCATTAGTCGAGACGTCGTACTCCACCCCAAACCCACTCATATGTAAAAAATCTACGAATTCAAGCAAACCTGACCCACCGAATCCAGAAGGCAATGGTTCTCTCATAATTAGACAGTAAAGAGGATATGAATAGCTCTAGAGTGGCGTTAGAGATAAGAGTAACGTTAGCGATAAGAGTAACGTTAGAGACAAGAGTGACGTTAGAGATAATAGTGGCTTTAGAGTTAAGAGTGAAGCTAGAGATACAGATGACCACGATCTGCATGAAATATACTTACTTTTTATATTTGTCACAGATATGAGATAATTAATACAAGGGAGTTAAGTATTGTGAGAAATTATCACTTGTAATATTTAGAGTATCGAAACTAGGTAAAAACTAACCATATGGAGACGGAAGGTAACAGTTTCGTCCATATTTATGTAAAAAGATTTGGTCATAGTGATTGTTACGCACTGGCTTCTAATATGAGAAATGAATCTCCTATGTTAATTTTAATTGGCTCATTGTAAGCAGTGCCTAACAAAGGACGACACCATAGAGTCAACGAAATTAAAGATACGACACCCAAAACAGTTATTAGTTACAATTAATAAGATTTAATAAGTATTAATGTAATTACAAAGAAAAGAAATATCATTATACATCATCAACTTACAGTATGGTAGATCTTGTACCGGTACACAGTTAACACAGTTAGAATAATGTGCCAATGAATAATGATGAATGCGAAATAAACACATATATAAGAACACAAAGAATAATACACGTCTCGTGAAGTTAATAAAAGCTATCTGAATCTCCGTCTCTCCGTCCGTGCCTGTCAATCCCTTATATAGGTCGCGTAAGCCTTGCCTTCCAGGAAGACTTATGACGTGTTGTTTACATATCTCGGGTTATCGAGCACATTCGAGAAAATACCAGGAAGACAGTCTAACATGTTTAATTGGTAAACACGGTTGTAAACAAGATACTTCAAAAGAATAGGCCACGCCCACAACAGACCGCTAACGTCTGCTAGTGATCTAATTTAGGTCAAGTACAATTCAAGCACGGAAAAAGCGTGCTACATAACAGTGATATTTTTATCAAACTAGAGAAGTTGCCAATGAGTTTACAGAGAAGATACATTAAAAGTATTTCATGGGTTTAGTATGTTTATGTGAGACATGGACCTATTTCGTATCAACTATTGTATTATTGTGATAGTCTGTTAAGTATATAATAAAGTATAGTCACTATCACTTGATCCACTACGCGTTTTTTATTATAACTCATAACTAGATTGTGGTTGTGAGATATTGTAGTTGTGACAATATTATAATCCCATTTCCTGGAAAACGTGTTATTAGCATTCCCCCCAACCCCCCTGTCTTTTTCAGGACCTTCAACAGAGAGTATCCAGGCTAGAGGAGATCATTGGCCTTAAATCAAAGAACCCAAATGTATCAATCAAACGTCGCGCCCTAAAACATGGACACATTAAGTCTTCGCCCCATTTGTAGAACTACACCAACGACACCTAATGTGGAGCCCTAAAGCAAATATTTTAGTCCAGCTGAGAGCCCTACCACAAATGTTTTAGACCAGCTGAGAGCCCTACAACACATTTTTAGACCAACTGAGAGCCCGGCAACACATTTTTTTAGACCAACTGGGAGCCCTGCACCAAGGATCCCCTGGTGTATCAGAAAAACGCCCAATAACATATTGAAAGAACATTAAAGTGTCTTACGATCTCGTCCTCATGCCATGTTTTGTGCTACCTTTTAAAAAATCACCATTCGTCATTTGAAGTATTTGATGACATAGTGTTAACTTGTACAATAAACGCAAACTAGTATAATTAACTTCTTGCCAATACGTTCGTTGTTTTGCTTCGTCCTGTTTTCAGCTTTCCCATAACTGTCCCCCCCCCATATTTCCATGGTGTCTCACCCAAACTTTCATCGTCTCGTATTTTCATTAATAATTTTTTTTTTATCAAGACAGTAAAGCGGGGTCCTCCTTTGAATACTGAACAGAGTAAATCACTGTTCTTAATTATTAATTAGACCTCTTTATTTCAAGCGGAATTTTATTTATTTTTTTAAATTTTAGAATGTCTTAAGCTTACCTACCAATCATATGATTATTTTCCATTCCATTTCGTGGCGAACCCCCTTTCAAGTTTTGCATGTGCATTCGATCCATGATGGACTGAGCTGTTTCCAATACAACTTCCTCGTCGTCATCTGAGCTGTTGACACCGATCTTTTGAACCGTCGTCTCTCCTAGAATCTCCGCCATGATGTCCAGGAGGACGCCGTAGCCTTTTGAAAAGCGATTCAACGTTAGGCCGAGAAATGGCTCCGACTTTAAATCAATCTCGCTCATTTTTATCAACTCGGTGTCATGGAACAAAAGTACCTGTGGAGGAACAATAATAATATTCATTGTACTTCATCTTCACCGCATAAAACCTAAAAAACAGAATAAAGGGGAGAAATATTTATTTAAAATACCGGTATCGGAGTGCTTTCCTGTTGTTAATCAAGACTAAGATCCATAATGAAATTAAACTTAACACAAACGTCTGGGCACCAAGAGCCTCTCAACGCCTCTTGAGTGTGATGTTGATAAGGTGGTAATGTACGTAAGCTTAAACCATGGCAACCATCCAGAAAAATTTCTAGTTTCTAAGACAGGAAGAAACATTCAGGAGGCGCCACACGTCGTCACATGACTTCGTACACAAATGACGCCCATAATTTCTAGTAACATTGGCGTCATTAGAAAGTCAAAGACTCCGGTGGGATTTCTCGAGAATTTGGAGTCCTTTTGAATTACCACAAAGATATATAATTCACTTCAGCCCTTGTTTGGACAAACCTATAAAACATTTAAAATCTAAATAAAAACGTTCACATTGACTTGACTGCAATCCAATCCCTTCCCGGGATCAGACGAAAGAAAAAAATGCCAGCATGTTGCTGTGTCATGCAAGACAAGCACAGTATTCTAACTGCGCATTGTTATATTTAAAACGTTGATAATTATACCAGCTGGGCCAAGGCAACCACGTTGATAATTACACCAGCTGGGCCAACGCAACCACTTTGATAATTACACTAGCTGGGCCAACGCAACCACTTTGATAATTACACTAGCTGGGCCAACGTAACCACTTTGATAATTACACTAGCTGGGCCAACGCAACCACGTTGCGAGTTTAAAATGCGGGAAGAGCTTCATAATCCATAAACAATGTGCAATTGATCATGCATGCACCCAAAACACACACGCACACACACACACACACACACACATCACAATCGTTAGCCACCATGCTATTTGCCGTGCTGTGTGCCGACTTGTGGTTGCTCTAATAAGCATTGGTGGATATATGGTGTCCCAACTTGAATTCCCACTCCCCGGGTATCGCTCATAGTACATTGCAAAATAAGGTATACATTCATTTTATAAATTTCTGAAATAATAATGTCATTAATAAGAACTGCAAAAGATTTAGTTGAGCGAGATAAGCCGTAAACTAATCCCCTTTCTTGCGCGGGGCGGACAAGATTCATTCGGAAATGATTGTCACAGATGGTATCCTGCCATCCCATTCAAACCAACAGTTTCACATACCTTATCGTACTCGATCCTCCTCTCCAATGCAGCCACCAGCTTTCTGAAGTACCTCCCTGACACGACTGGCTCCATGAGGTTGAGCAGTCTTTTGTTCTTGGTGACGCGGTCAAGGACGTCTTTTCTGTTGATCTGAAGCGAATCAGTGTGTGTGTGCATAGATACTTTAGCTATATAGTCTGATAGTGTATATAAGTATTTTAGGTAAGCTATACAGTCTGATCGTTTATATCAGTAATTTTAGATTAGCTAAATAGTCCTATGGTTTATTATTTTAGGATTTGTTTATATTTCTGTCTATTTGAATTTGTATTTTTTATATCAATTTAATACTACATTTAAAATGAATATCGTTAGTAATACTAAACTTGGTGTCGTTTTTCTTTGTATACTGGTTTTCAGTCCTTTGTTACGCATTGTAAATACCTTAAATACTGATTAAATTAGCAAACCATCTAACGGTATACGCAACTCAAATATGTTTGTGTGCCAATGTGCCGAGGGAGGGGGTGTAGTAAAAGACTCCTCCTTCCTAAAAAATATTTACCCTTCTGGGTTTTATGTTCAGAGTACTGGAAGTTATGTGTATTATCATAACTTCGACCCGTCAAGACAATCAACCATTCGCTTCCTGACCAACATCATAAACTGAAGTGGGAGCTTCGTTTCACGAGTACTGACCTGCATCAGGCGTTGGTGACTGGCTTCCGTGGGAGCTGCACCTGACGACACCGACACTGGGACCGGATGTTTGGCTGAGAGTGAGAGGTCCTCCAGCTTCTGTATGACATATTTGTACTGGTTGATCATCTTCTCCAGCTCGATCTTGAGCGCGTCGTGCAAGGTCATCAGCTTGCCGCCAGAGCTCCCCACCATCCCGTGTCTGCCCATGTTACGCAAACACCTAGGGTTCAAAACTCAGTGACATAAGTTCAGAGATCCTTCCTTTAAAAATCTTCCGAATTTTAATCATTCACACTCATAAAAACAAAAGTAGTTGATGATGCATTCACTCATTTTATGAAGGGGAAATTGCAATAGAAGCTTATAAAGTAACTCAGAGACAGAAAGGAGGGGGCAGGGGTTAAATACGTGAAAGCATTGGTAGGAAATGCTTCAAACCTGGGATATTTTGTCCCTGGTTAAGGAATTTGCTAAATGCCTCTAAAGAGCGCGAGAAGGGGGAAAAAGCCGTTCATTTTATGGTTACACATTTATTTATATAAACTATAATGCATAAAAGATTTCAATGCGCACGAAATATTTTATAACACTCGTAGGTTGTACATTATAATCCCCTGGGTGGATGGGACTCGTTAACCTTGGATGGTAGCTCATCTAAGAGATGGTACTCGTTAACCTTGGATGGTAGCTCATCTAAGAGATGGTACTCGTTAACCTTGGATGGTAACTCATCTAAGAGATGGTACTCGTTAACCTTGGATGGTAACTCATCTAAGAGATGGTACTCGTTAACCTTGGATGGTAACTCATCTAAGAGATAGTACTCGTTAACCTTGGATGGTAACTCATCTAAGAGATGGTACTCGTTAACCTTGGATGGTAACTCATCTAAGAGATGGTACTCGTTAACCTTGGATGGTAACTCATCTAAGAGATGGTACTCGTTAACCTTGGATGGTAACTCATCTAAGAGATAGTACTCGTTAACCTTGGATGGTAACTCATCTAAGAGATGGTACTCGTTATCCTTGGATGGAAACTCATCTAAGAGATGGTACTCGTTAACCTTGGATGGTAGCTCATCTAAGAGATGGTACTCGTTATCCTTGGATGGAAACTCATGTAAGAGAGGGTACTCGTTATCCTTGGATGGAAACTCATCTAAGAGATGGTACTCGTTAACATTGGATGGAAACTCATTTAAGAGATGTGACTCGTTAACCTTGGATGGTAGCTCATCTAAGAGATAGGACTCGTTAACCTTAAATGGTAGCTCATCTAAGAGATGGTACTCGTTAACCTGTGATGGTAACTCATCTAAGAGATGGTACTCGTTAACCTTGGATGGTAGCTCATCTAAGAGATGGTACTCGTTATCCTTGGATGGTAACTCATCTGAGAGATGGTACTCGTAAACCTTGGATGGTAACTCATCTAAGAGATGGTACTCGTTAACCTTGGATGGTAACTCATCTAAGAGATGGTACTTGTTAACATTGGATGGAAACTCATCTAAGAGATGGTACTCGTTATCCTTGGATGGAAACTCATCTAAGAGATGGTACTTGTTAACATTGGATGGAAACTCATCTAAGAGATGGGACTCGTTAACCTTGGATGGTAGCTCATCTACGAGATTGGACTCGTTAACTTTGGACGGTAGCTCATCTAAGAGATGGCACTCGTTATCCTTGGATGGAAACTCATCTACGAGATTGGACTCGTTAACCTTGGACGGTAGCTCATCTAAGAGATGGTACTCGTTATCCTTGGATGGAAACTCATCTAAGAGATGGTACTCGTTATCCTTGGATGGAAACTCATCTAAGAGATGGTACTTGTTAACATTGGATGGAAACTCATCTAAGAGATGGGACTCGTTAACCTTGGATGGTAGCTCATCTA